TCTCAGCCTCCTCATATAGATGGGATCACTTGAAAGCTTCACTACCTGCTGAAAGGGATTGTAGCAAAATCCCTTTCAGAAACTCGCTGGAGTGCAAGGGCTGATGCTGTTAAAGCAGTGTTTTTACATTACCTTGAAATAAAGTCAGCACTGGAGAACATATGTTCTGACAGTAGACAAACTGTGGCTACAAAGCTTGAAGGTGAAGGCCTCATAAGACAAATGGAAGCATTTGAAACAGCACTTCTTACTGTAATATGGTATAAAATCTTAACAAGGTTTAATGCAACCAGCTTATCACTTCAAAAAGTTGAGACCGACCTTCTGTCAGTTGTGAAACTGTACGAGTTTGATCTCCTTCGTCTCAGAAATGAGACAGGGTCAGTTTGATGAAATAGAAGATCAGGCTAGGGCTTTTGCTGAGCCTGTCTACACAGAGACAACAAAAAGAAAAAAAAGAGAAAACATTTCTTTGATGAATCAGTTGGCACTGAAACTCAACTTGATCCACATGAGAAGTTCAAGGTGGACAATTTCTACACCATATTAGATTGCCTTAGGAATGAATTGGAGCACAGTAGGGGGCAGGGAAAAAACACTTTTATTTGAGTTGCAGGCTGCACTTTTCAGGCATCGTTTGTATGGCTGTAACAAACACCTGTGCAAAATTTCATGCCATTTCATGCATACTTACCCTGCCGCATCGCGAACGACTTTTTGTCAACTTTTAGTGTATACCAAAAATTAGGTGTCATTTAATGTTTTCCAGGATAATGATAAATTTTACATGGGTGACATCGATTTAATTCACATGTTATTTTACAGGTACACCGTATAGAAAATCATTACAAGTTCATATTGAAATTCTTTTTTGTGCGGAACCTTGGCATCATTTTCCTAGACAATAATCTTTGCCTAATATATCCATCTCTCGATTCGTATCCCGTCACTTCAGTGCAAGCTTCAGTCATCACTTTTATGCCTCTCTCGACCGCCTGAGTGCTGTTTGGCCACTTGGGCACCACTAATGGTGTCTCAAGAATGTCATTAACCTGTAGATTTGACAGAAAAGCAATGTAAGGAGGCTCAGTCTTGAGTTCATTCCTCCAGTTAATCATGGAATGATAGTTTTTTGCTTGCCACTTTAGTTTCGGAGTCACCACCTTTCTCATGTTGACTACAGGAGGCACATCCTCATTCCCATCTCCATCTTTACCCTCCTCATCAGTATAGTTTAACAAATTCTCGTCAACAGCAGCATCAGAATCTTCCTCCTCCTCTTCAGATCTGCCAGTGCATTCTTCCTTTTGCTGATTCTCCTCTCTAATTTTTCTTATCATTGAGACAGCTTTTTCTCTAACAGTCATGTCCTCATCTGCACACATACCAAGAAGAAGTTGATCTGTGTGGGCGAAGTATGCATTTCTCTGGACAGCCTTCTTCACTATCGTCTCCTCCTCACTATTCAGGTGTTTCATATATAGCAGGGACTGGAATACGTTCCTTGAGCCGTGTGTTACGTAAGGGTGTATCTTGATGTAAAACCACATTGGAGCACTGAACTTTATTATTGTAATGACAATTCTTTTCAACTCATGGCTGGTCTTGATGTTGCTACATACAGCCTGAGGATTCTACTCCATAAGGTGTTCCACCTTGACACACAGGGAGGACCTGGCTCAATAGCAGCCAAGTCATCTTCAACAACACCTGTGATAACTCCTTTACAAATCGTATACAGGTATTTCTGATCCCAGGACAGATCTTTCTCCACTTCATCATTAAACGCAGGGAAATCAGAGAAACTGACTGGCTGGAAGGCGACAACTGGAAGCTCAGACAAAGACTTCTTGATCTGCTTTCCAATGGGACCACGCCAATGCTCAGGGCCACTTGGTTTACCATCACAGTGATAAAAAACTGCGCGGAAAGGCAGCTCATTTCCGTGAAGCTGACATATGAAATAATGGAGCGGGTGACCAAGTAACATTTCAAGATGATGAATGACTCCATTTTCTGATCCTACATTTACATTGGTTCCATCACAACCAACACACACAAATGGCTGCTGGGTTAGATTTTTCTCCACCAGAAACTCATGAATAGTTTTGGCAATCTGCTTTCCATGTCCAGTCTTGGGAGTCACATGTGTGAGATATTCATTGCCAGGCTCAACCATGATGACATAATGATCTTTCACCATCATCCTCGAACTCCATTTCTCGGTCTTCTCATTCTTTATCATCACACGAGTGGCGGTCTTCTTACCATCAAAATAGAGTGACGTCAAATTATCTAAACTAGCCATCTCAATTTCTTGCCTCTTAAATCGGTATTTTTGTCTCGCATCCCGCAGCTTATGTGGTCCAATAACCTGACTCTTATCATCCTTTGTGATAATGCCATAGTCAGTTAAGGTGGCAGTAGCAATACATGGCCCCAACAATACTAATCAATGCTCGGTCTAGCACGACGGCCGTAGGAATCTTGTCAGAGTTCCACAGCAAACTGGTATCATCAAACCCTTGGATCAGGGACAAAATCAGCATCAGTTTTGACGAGAGGAATATCTCTTGAATCATCTGAATTATCCTCAACATAAGGAATATCTCCAGCTACCAGATATCTATGTTTTTGCTCAAGCTGTCTCCTAACTCTGTCCGCATCATGCTTCTCTCTTGCCGTCACTCTGCGCCAACTTACCCAGGTCTCCCCTACATTACAGTACAGTAACACAACATTGAGAAATGAAATGAGAAAAGGCTGATAATCAATATAGACATAGCACCATACTCATCTGCAACAAGACAACTTAAATGAAATAAGAGATATGAAAAAAAAGTTGATAAACACTGAACAGAACATTGCACCGCCACAGCGGCTGTTTGGCTAGTACTGTAGGTAAATTAAAAAATTTCAGTAGAAAATGCGGCAGACTAAACCTCGACATATCAGCTTCAAATTTGGCATGAAGTCTTAGATATGTATAAGGAACAATGGCTGAAGAGTGCAGCTTTGAGCAAAATTTCACTGCCCCCTAATGTACAGTAATCTTTTTCACTCAAATCCTAATGAAACATTATTGAATTAGAATACGTAGCTGGTTGAAGCAAGCTTATAAATTAAAGAAAATACTTGCAGTATGTTATAAATAAATAAATAAACAAATAAATTGGTAAATCCATTTCAAGTAAATGAAACAATTGTATTCGACACCGACATTAGTTCAAGTTAAATAACAGACTTTTAAGTGAGTCACTAGTGTTTACACTACACCAACCGGTAACATTTGATGCCATTACTTGAAGTGAATTGGCTTTATTTTAAAAAACCAAGGATGTGTAAACAGCACTGGTCAATGGGATGGTTGGTAAAGGACTACTGGGTCAGTAAGCTCCCAATGGTAAGTGTCACATTTGGGGTACTGGTCTTATACAGCGAATAGGGCTCAAAAGCTACTTTTTAAATGGAAATTTTGGGGGCCGTCTTATACACCCCGTCGCCTTGTAGGCCGAGATATATGGTATTATTAATATTATTATTATTGTTATTATTATTATTATTACACACACACACACATATATATATATACGTACATGTACACTAGAACCCTTAAATCACTACAAGTGATTAATTTTTATCTCTTGTGCAAAATATATGACGTTTATATTCAAATTATTCACTGTCTTGCAAGGATTCCAGCAATGCAAATTATATTCTCCTAACATTAGTCTGTGATGTAATATAAGATAAAAACTTAAAGCGTACTGTATAACCACCAAACCTTTGCTGGCGGGCGGCGGCATGTGGGGGTAAGGAGGAAGGGGGGGGGGTGACAGTGACATGTTTGACAGTTAGGTGCCAAAGGTCTAGTGAAGTATTTATTTGTTTATTTATGTCCTTTTGGTTGAGTTTTTTTATTTTTGCTTGTAAAATGTCATAGAAGTGACCAGGGAAAATATAATTTACATTGCTGGAATTCTTATAAGATAGTTATTAATTTGAGTATAAACATCATATATTTTGCACGAGATAAAATTTTTAGTACATAGTACATTTTAATAATGAAAATTTTTTTCAACTGTATCTTTGGGTAGATATACATAAATTTCTGGGTGTCTTTTTCTTCTCAGCACCGAGAACTCTCACTTTTACACTTGCCAGCCATTTTAAAGGGAATTACAAACGAAAATTTTGTCTGTGTACTGACTTTGGGACTCAAAAATATGTAATTTGTAAAAATTTTGGTACGACTGAGGCAGGTCGTAAGTGCGGGTGGTCTTAAGTTGAGTAGGTCGTAAGTCGAAGAGAAGCTGCATTCTATTCTTTTCTCAGGTTTTTGGATACTGTTTATGTGCCGTACAGTACTTCATTAATAAAAGTTTCGTCATTAAAGTATTATGTTCTTTGACTTTTCCTATGATTATTCACGGTTTCTGTGCTGGTTCATATTTATTTACTAAAGTGGTTAATGTTTTAAAGCAAATGCTATTGAAATATGAATGGCAAATGAACAAAAATGAATAGAGGGACTTAAATGAGGTAGGTTAGGGATAGGTACTTTAAAAAGATATGTTTTACTTCCGTAACTTTATTTACTATTAACCGACCTTTTGGATTATCCGTCGGCATCTTTCCCCCATATGTGGACTGTTAATTGAGATTTTACTGTATCAGGAAAAGTTTCTCAGAATTTTCTGGAAAATGTGCCTCTTGGAAAATTGTTCCGAAAGGTGTAATTTCCCGGAAGATTCAGGCTTTGGGAACGATTTTCTGAGAAAATTTCAATTCCGGTTATCGGAGAGTTCCGGGTTTGAGGGATTCCGGCTATCGGAGAAATTAATGTAATTTTATCAAGGGGTATTTTGAAGCCCAGTACTGCATGGTTTTTTATTCTACAAATTGGGTTGGTAGACAGTTCAGATGGACATAGGTTATAAAAGCAATAATAGCTTCCCTTATAAATCTAAATAGAAATAGAAAAATATGTTACAACTCACATGGATATAAGTGTTTCCACATTGGCAAGAGAGCCATGTAGAGTCCAACGTCCCCTAGTGCTGGGTAACTTCTAAATACAGCAGTAAATGCTAAAAGAGCAGCTGCCAGCAACACAGGGTCACGGCGGAGGCGAATTGACAGGGGTAGAACATAAACGAAGGCATTGATTTGGAATGTTGCCAAGAAGAAGAGACGGAAGTGCTCAAACATCTCAGTGAAGAAGTACCAGAAGAGACCGATGTTTGGAGTTAGATCAGGAGCGGCCAATCTGTGGGAATCATCAAATACACAACATAAATTTTTAAAAACGGTAAAATATTAAAATGACTGCTAGTACAGGTTGTAACTTTCTGGTACGGCAATCTGTGGTCTGGCATGTTTTTAATCTGGTGCCATTAGTTTGCATTAACAGTGCCAAGCCACCAAGTTTCTTTACATAATCTCCAGCCGAGTATTTTGGTTAAGCATGCCCTTCAAATTCGCAGGGGTTAGGTTGTCAAAATGGTCGCGAATCGCTAAATCCGCGAATAACATTTGCTGAGGGGATGGGGGGTACAGTTTTACTTGTGTACAAAGAAATGTACAGTAAGTCCTCGCTTAATGTTGCCCCCGACAAAGATGTTTTGTTAAAACGTCGCTACTCTTTAGATACCCATGATTCGGACAACGTCCCGCCGATTCAGTATGACGCCGTCACGGACTACTTTGTATGGCACATCACCCTCTCTCACCCAGTCAGAGTGGGAGGAGGAGCCACCCTCCGGGTCTCAGTGACTCGTCACCCTTCTCCTCTGCACTACCCACCACACACTCGCTCCATCTCTGCCCATCAGTGAGTACAATACAAAGTGATTAAGTTTATTTATCTTTTGGGATGTATAATATATACTATTTTCTATAAAAAATTCCATTGAATTTATGTATACCGGTATGTAATGTATTTTATGGGGCAAAGGGAGGCTGTGGAACATAACTCCCGTATTTTATCCATTTATGGGGAAAATTGACTCCGTTAACGTCGCGGTTTTCAGGAACGGAACCACGAAGTTAAGCGAGGACGTACTAGCTTTTTGAAGTCAGACAGATTGTAAGAGTATGGAAACACAGAAGAAGGCAGAGCATTCCACAATTTGGCTGTGTGAGAAAAGAAGGATGTACTATAACGGGTTACTCTAGTGTGACCGACATCCACACAGAAACGGTGGGCACCGCGGGCAAGACGAGTGTTACGAGCCCATGGCCTTGCCGACGGTACATAGGATGCCAAATCCACCGAACATTGCCCGTTAAGGTACCGTACCTGCAAAAGAGAGTGAAGCAACATTGTAGCAAAGAGAAAGGGAAGAGAGATTATCAACTGAAGGAAGAGAGTTAATAAGACAAAATACCTTTGATTCCACCCTATCTAACAGTTGGACAGAAAAGAGCCACCCCAGATATGAGAGCAGTACTCTGCATTAGGACGAATGAATCCCTTATACTCCCTGTACACTTGAAGCAACTGCTCAGGAGTGAAGTAGCTACGGCATCTGTACAGCATTCCCAGCTTTCAGGAGGCAGCTTTAGCAATGTTGTGGATGTGTGGCTTCCATGACATTTTAGAGGAAATGGTGAGGCCTAGCATATCTATTTTAGAATTTGGCAGAATGACTGCATCCTGAAATGTGATTGGTGGAAGATCTTCCATTTTGGAAAGTGTAATTAGTAAATACTGTGTTTTACTACTACAGTAGAACGTCGATTTAAAGTGATTCAATTGAAGATTGATGATTTAAAGCGACACCCACAATTAAGGACAATGTTTTAATTTAAGGCAAATCTTTCCTATTTTGCACGATTCCATCTGGCACATCAAATTTTAAAATTTGCACCTAATGTTTCTCTGGGCATGCTACACTGTCCTAAGGGCAAAGCTGTACTGTACATGCACTCAAAATAATGTACTAAATAATGACTAAAATTTTTGTCTAGTGCAAACTATAGCATGATTGTATTCAAATTAATTATTATCCTACAAGAATTCCAGCAAAATAAATTATATTCTCCCTGTGACATTTTAAAAACAAAAAACAAAAACTCAATCTAAAGGACATAATTAACAAATAAATTCTTCACTAGGCCTTTGGCGCAACTGTCAAAGTCACCCCCCCCCCCCCACCCAATCTTCTCAGCCAGAGTTGGGTGGTCATAGGCTTTAAGTTTTTATCTTATATAATATAAAAAACTAATGTTAGAATATAATTTGCATTGCTAGAATCCTTGCAAGACAGCGAATAATTTGAATATAAATGTCATATATTTTACACAAGATAAATTTTTTTTAGCCCTTTGTAATAAAAGTAGAGGTCCAAAAATCCAGACTGCTTGGGGATTGGGTCGGTCCGGATTTTCGGATTTTCCGGATTCTCAGGCAGTACTTTTAAAATTCAAATTTAAGGAGGGATAAAGAAGAGATGAACAGGTACAGCAATATCTAACTGTCTAATAACATGACGAGTCTTGAAATTCCTAAGCCATCCATCACTAAATGAGCACTCTGATTCAATGTTCATTTGCTACTTAAAAAACTTTGCTTTGGCAATAAGCATCGGCCCAGAAATTGCCATACCTTCTTATCGTTTTAACAAAAACCATTCATGCAATACTTTATCAAGATTTTCTAATTTTGGCCTAAGTAAACTTTTTCTTTCAGCAATTTTATTGTAAGGCTCAGAAGAAGCTGTGAATTCTAGAATTTTATTCTTTGCCTTTTTTTCTATCATAAATTGTAGACTTTCCAATGTCGTATGTTTCCATTAGAACAGTATTGCTCACACCACATTCTAGTTTCTTAATTATTTGAAGTTTGTCACTCAATTTCAACGTGTTCTTCTTTCTCTTCACACAATGAAGTTTATCTACTTTAGGAGCCATTATTATGGGCTTGTACTCTGTAAATTACATACGTTGTCACAGTTTGATTGGTCGTTTTAAAGTGGCGACCGCGTGGTCGCTTGTTGTCGTTGTGCAGCTGTGGTGCTCACGCATGCGCAAATACACACAAAAGCCCGTTAAATTTAAAAAGTTTGAGAGTTTTCGAAAAGTCCGGATTTTCAGGTGGTCCGGATTTCTGGCATCCGGATTTTTGGACTTTTACTGTAATTAGAACTAAAATTTGTATGTCTAATGCAAACTATAGCATGCATATATTCAAACTGATCACTATCTTATAAGAATTCCATCAATTTTAATTATATTCTCCCATGTAAGTTCGGTGACATTTTATAAGAGAAAAACTTAAAGTCACTCTTTAGGACAGATAAGTAAATAAGCACTAGACCTTGGCATCAACTGTCAAACATATCACCTCACCTACCCCCCCTCCCAATCTTCCCACCAGCTGATCCCTAGTAAACAGACCATTTCATGTCCCATAATATAGCTATGTTGATTTATGAGTGTTTGTTTTAACATAATACTACAAAAAACAACGTTTTGTTTATTCTAGGAGATGGGCTGAGGTGCATCTGGCTAGACTCTCAGTCTTTATAGTACTTTATGTTTCTATCAAGTACCAAACTAAATTATTCCATTGAAACAACACTTCGATTTAGTGCGAATTCAGTTTATAGCGACCTCTTTGGAACTTATCTCGTGTTATATCGACGTTCTACTGTATTGAATTTAACCAAGTTTCTACCTCCCCACTCGGAGATGCTGCACATATCCGCATTGATAGATGAAATGATATCAGCTCTAGAAACAGATCTAGTTTGAGAATTAGGAGGAAGTGAAAAATGTGAAGAAGAGTGTAGAGTAGAATCATCAACTTACGAATGGATAGAATTAGTCGTAGTGTGAAGTAAATCATTGATAAAAAGAAGGCAGAGAGTAAGTGAAAGAACAGAACCCTGTGGGACACCACAATTGGTAGAGAAAGAGCGAGATAGATCCCTCGACAACAACTGCCATGGATCAGTTCTCAAGAAAGCTAGAAATTAGAGATCAAAGTGGGGGAGAGAAATTATAAGAAGGAAGTTTAGAAAGCAAAGAATTGTGCCATACCCTGTCAAATGCTTTGGAGATGTCGAGGGCCACGACGAAATTTCCCCATAATCCTTGAGGATGACCAAAGATGGGTGCAGTAGGAGAGCAGATCACCAATAGATCTCGCCTGGCGAAAGCCATATTGGTGATCTGACAAATGAGAAAGGCGTTCAAGGTGACGGAGAAAATGAGAGTTTAAGATAGTTACGAAAATCCTAGAGAGATATGAAGTTAGGGCAATGGGGCCATAGTTGAAGGGATTAGAAAGGTTCATCCTTCTTCGGGAAGGGCTGAACCGAGGCATGCTTCCAAGAAGAAAGAAAAGTTTGGGTTTTGAGGCAAAGGTGAAACAGGTCGAGCAAGTACAGGGGCCAGAATTTCAGCACATTCCCTCAGAACACGAGGAGGTATTCCGTCTGGTCCATGCACCTTACTCACATCCAACCTGGATAACACACCAGCAAACCTACGAGTGGAGATTATAGGAAAGTGCATAGGTTCAGTCGGAGGGCTAGAGTTGGAAGCGTCTAAGGTGGAGTTAGAGGAGAACAAGGTGCCAACGAGATTGGCTTTATCAGTGGGAGAGTTGGCTATAGAGTCATCAGGTCGGAAGAGAGGAGGAAAAAAGGGAGTGCAGAAATTATTACAAATGTTTTTGGTTAAGGAACAGAAGGATTTACTAGAAGAAGAGTTAGTCAGGACATCAGTGTCTCTTTTTATAAAATTCTGCTTGGCCATACGAAGAATAACCTTACAACAATTCCTAAAAGTAATGACAGAGGAATGGGTAACAAGAGGACATAGTTTCATAACTTGATACACCCTATCTCTCTCCCTACATGCAAGAGAACAGGACCGATCAAACCATGATTGTAATGTGAAAGTTTTGGTAGAAAATGGGATAAATGCACTCATACCACCAAGTATAACCCCAGCAATGCTGTCAGCACATACCGAGGCATCCTGAGTGGAAAAGCAACATTCATCCCAAGGAAAGTCTGAAAAGAATTCTCGCAAGGATTACCAGTTTACCCTCCGATAGTGCCATAGTTGGCATTTTGGGAGGGGTGGGGGAGGTGGTCATACCCAATTTGATTTAATAGAAATAGGATTGTGATCAAAAGACCCTAAGGGGGCAGAAATTGAGTATGAATAGTGTATAATATGGACACGAAGTAGTACCTTAAGCTGTGTATTCTTATATTACTCTATTAATTATGTATAGTAAAGTATTACAGAACA